TATTGAACTTAAATTTCTTATGATAAATAAATATTTGTATTATTATTATTGAGCCAACCCCTGGCAAGAGCTTAAAAATGTACGGAATTTGTTATTTGGTTGAGCAGGTGCATGCCATCCGATGGCAGGTGGAAGTATCAGTATTTACAGGTGGGCGGCGACATGTTTGTTAAAGACTTTAAGGCAAATGCCGTTGTCTGCCACCCAGGCGTTGTTATTTATTATGGCTTGCCGATATTTTAATTAAGTTTATAATGATTGCTGCTGAAACATACGTGAATTCTACAGCATAAGTGGGCGTCGCCTGTGGGTGTGGGCGTGACATTAGCGCCTCCCCATTTAGAGCTGGTTGCCCGTTTGCTATTGTCCTCGTCGTTGTCTACACAAAATCAAAGCCAACAAAAAGCAATAACACACCAGGCACGTGACTTGTTTACCATATTGAATTATTTGTCTATACGGTTTAAATGTGCCAGTGCACAAGCCACACAAGACACACAAGACACACAAACACGGAAAACTCAAAACACGGCTCTATATCCTTGCCATACTTGCGCGTAGAACAGCCACAACTTTCCCTGTGCCCTTTGCAAAAATTGAAATTATTACGGAAATATTGTTTGACATTGCCATGTTTTTTTTTTTTGTCTCCTTCCAGTTGCCAGTTACGTGCGTGGGCGTGGGTCATGCCTCATACGGTTATCCAAAACTCAATCAGATGCAAGAAATGTTGAAACGTGTAAGTGCCACGAACTCTGAGCTCTATGTCTTATCAATAGTTTAAATCGTTAGTGCTTTTAGTTTGGTTTTATTATTTATGCTTTGATTTATATACTTATCAATTTGTTTTATTTATGTCTGTATTCATTTTATACTTTCCATTTTGTCAATAGCTTAAATATGGTGAGCTTAAAAGTTTTGAGTTTGCCGAAATACAAATTAATCTTTTTTATGTACTTTTTTGTATTTGTTTAGATTTCTTCCTATAGTAGAGGTAGAGGTATTATATTGATTCCAAAGTTGAAACGACTTTCTCCAATATAAAGGCCGCCTTCTCTTCTAATTGAACTGAAGTCTATGAAACTTACTTGAATTTATAAGATTCGAGTAGATGGGCATAAGTAGGGAATAAGGAATAAGGAAAAATCAGTTAGAATCGGATCATAAACAAAAAACTTGAATTCTCATAGCTGCGGATGGACATTCCATAATCGCCGAGACACGTTGACATTAAGCTTCTATGTTGTGCTTTGAAAATAAGTTTGAGTCTGATCGTACGAACTCAGAACTTTTCCCATCAACCTTAGACCCCTTATTAGTTGAATTTAAAGAAATATTTTTCGAAATGAGTTTGAAGCTGATTGGATGTTAAACAAAAAGCTTTCATTCAGACAACATCACAAAATCTATGATTCAAATTTTCCACCAGATTGAATTGTGCGAAACGCATTTTGCATTTTCATAAAGATTCTTAAAAATTAATTTTAACCTGAAACTTCATCCACGAAATGTTTGACCCCCATTTTCACTAAGTGACAAATTGATTTAGCAAAAAGTTAGAAACTGTGCTCAAATTAAGATCTTTGAAAATTAGTTTGTCAGTCAGTTGGTCACTCGGCCAATCAGTTTTTGGTCACCTTAAATGTATTTGAAGGAGATTAATGGATGAGTTCAAAGCGAGTACATTTTAATTATTGGTTAGAATTTTGGTATGCGTTTGTTGTGTGTTCCATATTCGATAATATATTGTGGATATCTTAGGGTCAACGGCATTCAGATGAATATTTGAACAATTGAAAGAGGTTTGTTTTTACATGCACCTCTTGTGGTTGTTAAGAGTCTAAGGCAGCTCGTTGAAAAGCTACAATTTTTTTTTATATGCTCGTCTTGCATCATTTTTCATTTTTCATGGCATACATAAAAGATTTTTGCATATATTTCACACAGTCAACTGACGACGTTTTTATTTCTTTTTATTTTTTGCTCAGTGCATAAATCAATTTATCAATTTCAAAGTTGCTCCGTTGCTTTTGAATAGTTGTTGTTGTTGTTGTTGTTATTTTTGTCGCTTTGGCGAGTTTGTAAACGTTTGTCAAAATGTTTTTACTTTTTGCCACTGCGACCACGCCCACGCCAACGCCAACGCCAACGCCCACGTCTGTGTCAACAACAGCAGCCACAACAAAAAAAATTGCAAATGCATTTTCCGCGAAACGCATAAAATGCATTTCAGTGGTGGTTGGCCGGGTGGTGCGGGGTGTGTGGGTCGTTTGATAGAAACCGCCCTCCAATTCATTTGTCATTTTGTCACATTAACGCAATGGAAATGCAATATGCTAATGTCAAATTTTATGAATGAAAGAAAAATTATTTGCCTTGCAGATGCACTTGGAATAAATATTAAAATAGCCATAAGGAAACAGAGAGAGGGAGAGAGAATAAGTGAAAACGGGGAAAGGGAGATGAAAATATCTGGATAGTTTCTTAGTTTCAAATTGTGTATTCGTCTTTGTAAAAGCTGAATAACTGAATACTCACAAAATGGTTAAGGTTCATTCATTCACATAATAAAGCTTCTGATAAACTCATATTACGAGGAATTTTATTGAAAAATAAATAAAAATGTGAAAGCATTCACAGAAAAACAAACAAGTACTATTCAAAGCGACGCACGACTGGGATACACATATGTATATGTATGTGTACATAAGCCATGGACGGAACAGAGCAACAGGACATGGCCCTGAGCGACCAGTCAGTTAATACTTGTAAAGAATATGCATACATCTAGCATAGGATCGAAGAGAAGTCTCTTTCCGCCCAATTTTCAATGCGTTCAGAGTATAATGAGTAGCAATTTAATCTGCTAAAAAGTTGGCTCTTCAACAAAATCGGTTTCTTTGCATTGATTACACCAGTTCACAGCTGTTTCCCAAAGGTACACAAGCACGAAAGGCCTTTAACCAAAACCCGGCAAACCCCCACCGAGCAACCACCAACCACCAACCACCCAACTCAACCACCAGCCACAAGGCACCAGGCAGCAGTCTTAGCCTGGTGCAGACAATTAACGTTTCATATGGCACGCATTTAAGTTTTGCATTCTAAGTGAGTCGCAAATCTCCAAAAGCTAAAACTCAAAGCTAACTTTTGTGAGTGTGTGTGTGTGTGTGTGTGTGTTGAAATATGGAAGTGAAATCAGCTTTTCATTAACCCATAAAGCGCAGCGCAGCGAAGGGACACAAATTGAGAGGCAGCTCCTACGGTTGGCAGCCAAAAAGTTTTGAAGGACGACATTTCTATTCATTAGCCGCAGCAGCACAACTGCAAACATACACATTACCACACACCCAAACACATACACACACACACACACCCATACCAACACAGACAGACAGATATAAGATTTGGTACGAAGGGCGCATTGATTTGGTGTCGCTCGGTATCCACTTTGAGGCACAAAATGGCGCACGCTTTATTAGCTTGATGAAAAGTTAAGAAAACTTTTGGCCAGACGACTTAGCCGGCAAATGATAAGCCGGCAACCGGCATGTGAGAAAATCCTTCTATTGACTTTGTCTGCGCTGTGCACTTGGCATATATGCCAAGTATGTGTGTGAGCGTTTCCATACATCTGCATAATATTAATAGTTTTAAATAAAACATTTAAATACAGTTAAAACGTATTGTTTCTGTATTTTTCTGTATTAGCCAGTCGCTTACAGCCGAAATAAACAGCACTTAGCCAGCAGCTAACAGTCATCTGCTAATAGCCACTGTTAACAGCAACAAGCGTTAACCTTTCCATGCAGTAAAATAAACCTACTTGTATCATGCCTCTAAGCGCTAACATCGCTGCTAAAATGAACAGCCGGCAATTGAATATAACAGAGCTCGCTTGCTCATAACATGCTGTTAGCTACCCCTCCCCCAAGCGGGGCAATGTTCGAAAAGGGACAATGCAGGGGTTTCTGTACTGTTGACTAACATTAACAGACAGCGCAGTGTGCTGCGCTGTTATGTTATGGCTAACGCTATGTTACAGTCCACTTACTGCTGGGATAAAATTGAAACTGTTAGCTGATGCTGTAAATACGTACTGTAGTAGTAGGCACTGAGATATGAGAAATGTATTGTTATAATATATTATTTAACAAATTTTTGTTTTTTGGACTTAGCTTACCGGAAATAACAATCTTCGGCACAGCTGCCGACTGCCTGCTAGAACATATCTGGCAAAGCAGAACATTTTCAATGCAAGAACATAAATCAACAAAATATTATTAAAGTACATTAGCAAATTGATAATAAAAGATATAAATACATAAATGCTGAAAGTTCCTTTCCATCTTGCTGAATCTGAGATTCGAGTTTCTCGAGCTGCACTTATATTTTTTCAATGCCATATTTTTTGGGCAACTTTTTTAAATGCCTTGCTTTGTAATTACAGACACGTGGGGGTGTCTTGAGTGAGAGTGTAATAAAAATAAATAAACGCCTTCAGGTCTGGTGCAGATTTCATTTTTCGGCTACAAATGGCAGTCATTAGGCCGGGGAATTGCTTTTCGTTTTGAGTGGCAGCTTTAAAATGATTGCCAAATGGCAAATGAAATTTGAAGCCTTTTTATTTAAATATAAGTATACATATATATATATATATATTTAGAGACTCGTATACTATATGTGAGGTGAAATGAAGTCACTGGCAATGCGCTTAATTTGCCGCACAATGCACAAATGCCAAATGCCGGCAAAGTAAAAGGACGAAAACGCGAGCTCTTGAATGAATTCAGGCGCAAACGGGCGAGAGGGGGAATTGTGGCGGGGCAAATATAGAGAAATTGTTTTGGCACAAGAAGTGCATAAAAATGACAGTGCCTTGTGTACTCGTTTACTCGCAATTGAGTGCACAAAAGTTTTCATAAATTGCATCAATTTGCAGTTGCGGAGGGATGAAAAATATAGCTAGGGGGTGGGGGTGGGGCTGGGGGTGGTAAGCGCGGGCAGACATACTTCCTGTTCTCATTCTGTTTTGCATGCGAAAGGTAAAAGCTTGTTGATTTTCTTGATGCCTGCTCTGAAAAGTCTCCGCCGCACAGACACATGCAGAAAAGGAAATCCTGTTGCGCCCTTGCGCGGCATATTATTTTTTATGATTTGATTTGGCCTTTTTTGCTCCTCTTTTTTTTCTTACTCTCCTACTTCTTCTTATATATTTTTTATGTCGCTTTACTGCCGCCCATCGCTGCAAATGAAGTCTAAAATGCTGTTGATTGTGTATTGAATTACTGAGAACGCTGCGCCGCATCCAATACAATGTGAAATCATGCTTACAACTTGATTGAACTCATCAGCAAAGCATCCAGTCGGCCCAGACTCCACCCCCAGCCCCAGCTCCAACCCGCTTTATGTACATTTGCAACGTTCTTGCTTGTGTATAATAAATGTGAGCAATTTAATAATATCAAAGGAAACAGCGCTTGCGATTATTGTCTTGAGTACGTGTGCACCGCGCCTAACTTTAATTGATTGCATTAGTATACAATTACGCGCAGTTATAGTATGCACTTCTTTGTGCGTATTTAGCTATGCATAGTTCAATTAAAACTGGCTGCGGTTTCATTAGCTTTCGCTTGATACTCACATATCCTTGGCAATTAGCGTTAGCGGTTAAGGGTGGCAAGTGTGAAAGCGGCAAAGGACATTCTTGAAGCTAAGGAATCGAGTATTTACTGTGCCTGCAACAGATGAGGTATGCATTGTAGCTTGTATTTAAGAGTCAAATGTTACTGTTTTTTACTAAAAAGATCTGTGAAAAGTGAATGCATTAATCAACATATATATATAGTTAAATATATACAAACAAGACAAAAAAGTAAAGCTTCAACGTAAGCAGGCATTTTAGTTCAGTTTGGGCCTTGAACCTAGAGCCTGTTTGCCCTGTTGGCTTCGCTGTATTCCATTATTATTTATGTGCCTATACGAAATTAAATTGACAGGTAATTTGATTTGTTTTTTGGCTTATTAAATTAGTTTTGCTGCCAGACAGGCTCGAGGCGCTCAGCAAATGAGCAGCGGCAAGGCTAATAAGCCCTGACCCAGGACACGGACCAATTTGATTGATTGCCTGGTGTCGCCAAACTACTTACATGCTATTATTTATGTTATTTAGTTGTATGTTATTTTTTTTTCATTGAATAAAATTTCCAAATTAACATAGCCTGGCTTGGGGTCTGCTTAAATATAAATAAGACTCATTTTGCGCTGCCGCGCTAAATATGCCCATGGCCCACGCTGTGGCACATAAGTCTTAGGGGCCGCAGCAGCAGGCGCATCAGCATGTGGCACGTAGTATGTGTGTGTGTATATGTGTGTGTGCTGTGCTCGAGAGCAAAGTGATGCGATTATCTGGCGCAGCGAAGAAAAATGTACTACTAAATCTATGAAAAGTCAACGGGGCAGTAAGTGCGACGTGGCAGGTCGCGGTGGCACGTGCCAAAGCGACTCGCATTTAAAGGGTGTGTGAGCTGCGAGTACATGCGAGCACAAATATCCTTCTGAGTGTGTGTCTGTGTGTGTGCGCGAGTGTGTGTGTGCACTTCTGAGCACTCTGCCAGGACAGGCAGCAGATAATGCTCGAATGACAATTAGTTTTTCTCAGTGGCTGCCACTTGACAGCTTAAAATATCATTTACTAATTAAAAACGTATTAGATAACTCTTGACAACGATTTGCAATTCTTCCCTGTAAAAAAACGTTTAACACAGTGGGGTATATATGCTATAATGCTTGTTAGAATTATCACAGAGGAGTTGTTAGTTATATGCATGAGCATATGAAAATTATACCTTATCGGAACTGTTTGTCCTAAATGATTGAGTGATTGACTGATTGATGAACAATGCACAGCTCAAGAGCTACACGTTTTCGCACTAGCTACGTTTTGTGATTGTTTCTTGATAAACTCGTTTCGCAAGTGTGAAAAATGCGTAAGTCCGATTTAAATTGTTTGAGACGTGCTTCACGGTTCAGTGGAAAAAGGGTGGATAGTTGGGCTTTCGTTTGATTGCCTTATAAAATAATTGACTTGTGTCAAGTCTTTTCTTTGGGTGGAAATGGATAGAAAAAATTTCAATAAAATGAGCAGTTATCAGTTAGTTAATTATAAAATAATAAGTAGTAAATAAATAATAACAAAAAAAGTGTTAATCAAGTAAAAGTTATTTATTATATATACGATAAAATAGGTATTCAATAATCTAATCGATAAAAGGATCTGTTTATAATGCCTTGAACTTAAAGTTTGCCTTTTTTTGCCTTCAAGGTCTAGAGTTTTGCTTTGAACCCTTTCAATTATGGTAACTGACAGTCGAGCGGATTTTTGCGTTCACACATTTTGTGACACTGCAATTTCCGTTTAGCTACTTATGTATCAGCTAGAAGGTAAATGGAGCCATGCAATTTGTATGGCATTGACAGGCAGCGAAACGTTTCGCATGTCGCGTTGGTCAAGTAGTAATTTCCGCTGCTTCTTGGTCATTAAGGGCTTACTTTGTGGATGCTAATTAAGACCTGTGCTTGATTGCAACTCAATTAACGCGTGACATTTGCATGCAATTAGCGGTTGCATTGACTAAAGTCCTGTCGGCATTCTAGCTGCTCATTTCCAACCGAACAGGTGCTAAATGGCAAAGTTGAAGACCTTTTTCTTAACAACAAGAAGCTACACAAGCTTGAAACAATTCGTTGGCACTTACATTATTATTCGTATTTTGGGAATTCCCCCAAAAAAACTTCAATTGAACGGGGCGGCAAACTTTGTCGCTGCCTTAAATGGTTATGGGAACATTTCGTTGCGTTCAGTTGGCGTTTTATTGCGCCAAATCTTCGGGCGAAGTGCGAGCTTATAATGGCAATGCCAGATGTCCGCTAAAATTTGTTTTGGGGGTTTTTCGCCATTTTGTTGGCAGTAGGTGTTTGCGGGTTGCGAGGCATTCATCATTTTTCGACCGCCGTTTCCGTTTCCGGCTCGCACCGATTTCTGTTGTAGGTGTGAATGCTGCCGTTTTCACCCCGCCTCCCCTTCCCCTCTGCTGCGCGTGTGGGCTACAACTTTTTATAAACCTTAAGTGGAAAACTTTTATTTAATACCCAAAGCAGTTGGCACGGCCTCTGCCAGTTGTTTGCATTGTTGTTGCTCTTGCTGTTTGTATTGTATTGTTTATGCCACCAATTCGATTGCCTTCTGTCTGCTTTGAAATTTCAAAAAAATATGTAGGCCGCACAAGTGACTTCTCCCTTTGGCCGTTTCACGTCAGGCAAAAAGTTGGTCTAAACGATTTTAACGCCTTTTTCACTTTTTTTTTGTATTATTTTTTAAACTTTTGTGAAGCGGCGCGCGGCATTAACAGCCTGAAAGTATGCAATAAAAATTGTCAAACAAATAAATGCTTGTAGTACAGTGAGGACTCGCTGCGAAAGGCCAAAGCTGATTTGTGAGAATGTGAAAAATATTGCATTTCTTGTAGTTCGGTAATAAATAAATTTGATTTACAGCCGGGTTCGATTTGACGGATTAAGGCTAACTAAACCTGGGCTTATGGATTTGGAAAACTTGGTTAAAGGCCGATTTGTAAACTATTCCCACTAGTAAATTCTAATATATATTATATAATTTACAATATTTTAGTTAACAAGCCTCCACTGTAGATTGCCGCAAGTATTAAATTGGGAATAACATTGAGCCCCGTACAACATTTTGTTATATTGTTTTGTCAGTAATTGTTTATATTTTTATTTCAGTTGAAATCCGAGTTTTTGAATTCTTACATATTTATTTTAATGTGACAGTCGGGAGTATGGCAACATCTATTGAACTACAGCTGGGTGATAAGGGGGGAAGGGCCAGAAGTCAACCTGGCTGCGGCAATCAACGTGCGACAGCAAACAAGTTTATTTTTTTATTAATATTAATTTCTATGTACATAAATTTTGTTGTCGTCCGCGTTAGCCACATTTTTCGACAGGCTTCGCTGCATTTTAATTTGACATGCTGGTGCTCTGGTGGTTCACAACCAGAAGTGAAAGTTGCTGTCAAACTGTGCTACAATGGAAAATGTTGCAGGTGCGTGGACGCGGATGTTGGAAAGTGTTTTTCAGGAATTTTAGCTGCATAGCTATTATTTTAATTATACTAAAATGTTGAAACACGTTAATAATGTAAATGTAAAACTACGAATCACTTGGTTGCCTTTTTAAATAAAGGAAAGGGCATGCAAAAATTCGTTGCGCCGCTTGCAAAATATTTCTTCAACTCAATGTTTCGTTAGTTTATTTATTTTTTTTTTTGAATCTCGTTGTAAATTTTAATTTATTTATGTTCTATATCTATTTGTTTTTGTTGTTTGCTAGCGATTCGTCCTAGCTGTGAGGACATGTGCATTTCTCATGACGAACTGTATAAATTTTACCGCCAACTGCTGCCCGTTGCCCGTTTCCCTTAGCCCGTTGCCCCTGCTGCTGCTGTTGGTGGTGTACATTTCAAGCCAAGGGTAACACCTTTTTGCTGTCATGCTGATTAAGGGGGTTGCTTGTCGGTTGTCGGTTGTATCTGCGCGGATTTTCCATACGCTGAACCCACTGAAAATGGGTAAAAAGGGCATAATGTTTTTATGCAAAGGTATGTAACCGAAAGCGGAAGCTCCCATACCCGTAATATATATAAATACAGTAATAGCTAAAAACATGATTCTTAAATATGTATATATATCTTCTCCTATAACATAAGCCTATCATTTGTTTCGATATTTCCTCCAATTTTTATAATATCAATAAAAACGGATTTTGAGACATTTTTTGTATACTTTCCCCATTCCCTTCAAGCAAAAAAATCTATTTGTTAAAGATCGGACTTTAGGCGCCGATACCATTAAATATTACATTTGTGTACGTGTTTTTGTATATAGTTAGATAAAATATTTGTAAAACCTGCTAGGCGCAGGCTTTAGGGTATCGCCTAGTCGGGCTCATCTTATTCGAGACCTCTTATTTTATTTTTTCTGTCGTATTTATAACACATAAAAAATAGAGTTTTTGTTTATTTTTTTTTGCATTTTTTGACGCTCTAGTTTGAATTTATTTAACTGAAAATTGTTAGAGAAATAAAAACTGGTTTGTTTCACTTTTTGTGGCACGCAGCGTTCAGCACGAGGCGCGTCCCGTTTGCTTATGGTGATTGATTTGTTTTGCACCGTTTTAGATTGAAATATTTTGCGACGGGTAAGGGGCCGTATTCAATTTGGGCATTTAAAGTTTGATATGATTTTCACATGATATGTATTAGTTTGAATTGTTTCTCCTAGGCGCTGCAGACAGCATAATCCTTAAAGCCTTTTGACAATATTGTATGAGGCTTTAATTCTCTGTTGTCAGGCTGTGTCGTTTAAATATATAAACGGTTTCGTCCACTTAACCATCAATAATTCTGAATAATACATAATTAGCAAGATTAACTAATGGTGTGCTGAGCCTATGCTGCGATTCCTGAGGCTGCTTTTGATAGCCAAAAGCTGCTGAAAGCCAACAGAATTTAAATCAGTTCCACTGACTTTTGTTTATGACCCAGATGATCCGCTTGTCAAAGCATCAAACGTTAGATTTTCCAGCACACGTTGCGTATGCGTAATCAAAATGTTTTGCCTGGCAAATTGAAAACATAAACACTTGGCTGGGCAGTGAGCCGGGCTATGAGCCGGATAGTCGGCCAGACTATTTTCCGGCCTTTGCTGCGTGTTGAGAACGTGTCATGTCTAATAACCAAACAGATGCTGCCCAAATAAACAGCACAATTTCGAGCAATCGGCCAGGCTCTATGTGGATGATTGGGCGTGTTAAGGATAGGGGATCTCTTCTTTTATACACAGTTCACAAAGTAAAAATAGGATA